ATCTTCTCTATTTAATAGTCCTTATGGTTTAATGAAATTTGAATTGTAAAATAGTGTTTTCATAAAATTAATCTCAATTTTTTGTAATTTTTTATGTAAATTAATTATAAAAAATATAAATTTATTATACTATTAATATATTGTATTATATTGTATTATATTATATTAATTAGAAACACCCTTGATTTAGGGAATCATCCTTACCTAATTTCGATTTTATTCTTGATTTTAACCTTAAATTCCTTACCTTTAACCCTACTCTTATGCTTACCTTTGAAGATTGGAATTGGATATTCTGGGACGAAATGCAAAGGTTTGTCATTTTGCTTTTGTTTTACATAGCATATGATCTGTTTTGAATTTGAAACAGCAAAACTAGAGATTTAACCAAAAATCAGCTAAATGCTACACAAATGCGCAATGATCTCTTAAAAATCCCTAGTCTGGCATTGAACAAGAGATTATACGTAAATCTTGAAAAAAATTTGATTTTCTCTTCAACCCAGAAGTTTTTACCTCTTGCTTTTTCATAGTTTTTGCTCAAGTCTTGATCTTGGCATGTAAACGCATGAAATTTTCATTCTCGTGTAAATTCAGTCTTGATCCATGAAGAAGTTGTACATTTTTGCTGCATCATCTTTATAATTGATTATTTTTCCTTAAAATTTACCAGATTGGTTTCAGGAGGTCGAGATTCTGCATAAATTGATGCCACAAAGGAAAAAAAAAATCAGGAGGGGAAGAGAACTTTTTGATGCTTTTTCGGAAGGAAAATCCTGCATTCATTAATTCATATGAGACAGAAGTCTACCTACACCTTGCTAACATAAATAACAAGAATCTTCATCTTTTCTTGTTATGTTCCTTTCTGAATATTATCTTGACTTGGGATTACATATGGATCACTTGAGGAAGTTTGCAGGGTTGAGTGAATTTGAGTATCCTTTCTATCAAAGATAACATCATCTTCATCATCCCTTATCCTACATTTTTCGCCTAATATAATCGTCTTTGTCCAAATAGAATTATCATCTGTATCCAACTTTATGTTTTTCTTTTCACTCAGCTTCTCCTCCAGTTGCCTAGCCTGGGACATGCTTCTTGGGATTTTGACACTCATTGTTGAACCAAACTTTCTTGTGGATTCAGATTTTGGCATGTACTTGCTAGAACATGTGTCTCTCAATTCCATCATAGATGTTGGTGGAGGCAATGGGATGGTGGTGTCTGCCCCATGTTCTGTTGTGGCAGGTGTTGCTGTTGTTGCCTTTGCTTCCTCTGTGCTTCTAACTCCAGGAGAAGATGGATCAGGTGATGATTTTCTTCCAAACCCACATAGGCACAGGCCAGAGATTATAGACATTGTTGCAGCCATACCAGCTACAAGGAGGGAGAATGACAATGCCGGATGAATCAACGGATCATCATCTGAAGGCATGCTCCTTCCCATAGTTGAAGCTCCCAGAACAAGGCATGGAAATTGAAACCTTTCTTCCCCTTCGTTTGTGTGTGATTAGTTTGGTTTTGATGTTCAAAGATGGGGATTCAATTGCTCAGATCTTTCAATAAGGAAAATGTGAATTAGGAAATTGAATTTGGTGCTGAAGGTTTTTACATGCTTGAATTTAGGAGAAAGGAAGGAAAACAAAGGTGAGGAGTGAGGCAGCTTCCATAGTGTTCCATTTTTAGTAAAAATATCGGCAGTTAAGTTAGTTATTCCTTATTAAGACTCATGATCTAATTCATCAAAAAATAAACTCATTGTCTAATACTTTCTTGAAAATGGTATGTTGGAGTGGGCCTGATTGTCTCATCTGATTAGGGCTACGGCCCAATTGTAAGGAGGAGTTTCCAAAATAAAACAAAGTCGAACAAATACAAGTGCCTTGATTAATGGTACTAAAAGTCTAAAAGTGCATGTTTTTGACCTGAAGAACTTGCTTGGGGTAAGGGGGAGAAAAATGCATGTAATAATACAAATTTTGTTATTTTTTTAGTTTTTAAATTAAGTAATGAATTTTTATTTTTTAAAAATAAAAATAAAAATTTTATATTTTTTTATTTTAAAGATTTACTAAATGATGATGATAACATGACAAATAAAAATCTTAATCATAATAAAATAAAGTTCATATTTTTAAACAAAAAAATAACAAATTTTGTAATCTTATTTATACTTTTTCTTATTTTGAGGAAAGGAAGGAAACAATTAAACAATATAATATCTCTCATCCTCAAACCAAATAGGCCCAAGAGCTTAGATTGAAATCCTTCTTCTCTTAATATAAAAATATATTGAATTAATAAAATTTGTATTATTTAATTATTAAAATAAAAAAAATGAAGAATAGTGCTTATTTGATGCATGTGATAATAAATTTTACAATGTCATACAAACCTAATTTTTATTTAAAATTTTTTTACTTAGTTCAAGATTTGAATATAAAACATTTAAATTAAAATTTCATCCTCTTAACTAATTGAGTTATTCTTGTGGGTAAACAGGACATAAGTCAAGGGGTGAAAGCAACAAGTTGTCTCTTTGTTCAGGACAATTAGCAAAACTTGTTCTTTCTTTTGATTCTGTCTTCTCCACAACATTTTTAAAGTAAACTCCTCGGTTTAAGTTGGTAAAATATTTTAGTATTATATTTTTGTATTTAAGTGGAACTCTTGTTTTGACAAAGGGAATCACAATTCGATTTTGCTTTATTAATTATATAAAAAATATTTTTTTATTTGAATTATTGATGAGTCACGAATATTTCTTTAATATAAAAAAATTGATATGAATCTCTTAACAAAGCCGACAGACAGACGTTGGATAAGAAAGAGATGGAGCATGTGGGGCTTACAATGTTCTTCTCCTAAAACAAAAAGGCCCTTGCTTTCTCAATTTTTAGTGGCACTATTATTGTATTTGTTTTACCAATTTAAGAACTAAGATCATCCAGATTGTTTCCAAAAGAACTAAGATTGTGTCTTTCCTTGTATGTTTGATTGATTCTCTCAAAAGGGTTTTCTGGGACTTTCATGACATTTTTATCGCCACAAGGTCTTTGCTTTTTGTTTCATAAGTAATGCAATGATTTGAGATTGGATAAAGAAACCCATTAGAGAGATTGTGAATGGAAGAAGAGAAAGCAAGAAGCAAGTTCAAGAGGGTGTGTGTCTTCTGTGGAAGCAACCCTGGCCACAGAAATGTCTTCAGCGATGCTGCTCTTGAATTGGGCAACGAACTGGTTTGCCGTTTCACTTTAAACTTTGTTTATTTGTTTATATCTCATGTGAATACATATTTGAGTGAATGAAATATGTGTTTTTGTTTCCAAAGCGATAAACTTTCTGTTGGTTTTTTTTACTATTCTGGGGTGGCGTTTGGTGGGTGTTTGGCTTATAAAACTGGGTTTTTTCATTGTTCTTCTCAGTGATCGGAGTTTCTACTTGTATTTGATTTCAGTTTCTGCTATGAAAAACCAACTTTTTGGTGGTTTATTACTTGGATGTGCGATAGTTGACTTGGGTTTGTTCTGTTTGGTAATGGTTATGTGGACGAGTGCTGTGGTTTCTACTGTCATTCAGTGTGGTTACATTCTCAAGTTGTGGTTTAGGTGTTTGGTGTATTGAATTTGGAGTGAGTTATTTGGGAAATTGGATCAATTGGGTGGGCAATGCTTATGCTAGATGCTTTTATTGTACTTTCCTAGTTTCTCGGTGTACTTCTTTTATGCTTACGGTGAGTGTTGATTGCAGGTGAAGAGGAAGATAGACTTGGTGTATGGTGGAGGAAGTGTTGGGTTGATGGGTTTGATATCTCAGACAGTGTATGATGGAGGATGTCATGTTCTTGGGTAACTAGGCAACTTGCCTTCCAAAGCATATTGTCTATGCTTTTCTATATGCTTTTCTTTATCGGACCTGTCATAAACTGAAATCAAGTTCTCCTTGATTCCATTCTATATGTATGACTAATGCTTGCTTTTTACATGCAGGATTATTCCAAGAGCACTCATGCCTCTAGAGGTAATAATACTTTTAACCTTACTTATTATTCTTAATCTGAGTTTATTCCTTTTCTCTTCAGTACCCTGAATGGAGGTTTGCTTCTTTTCTTCTTTGATTGCTCTTTAAAATGCTAAGATTTTCAAACCTTTTTGCTCCTCTCTCTCTCTCTCTCTCTCTCTCTCTCTCTCTTGGATGATTTTTTCCTCTCTCCTTTTACCATACTATTGAAGATTGATGTTGCATAACAACTTATTTGTTACCAGCATTCAGTTCTTTGAAGGGCATATTTGGGTAAAATAATTTCTTAAGAACTCATTGATACTTATTAGGTCCTTGTAATCAAAATTGCTCATCTCAGGTCTTTAGGATTTGTAATTGATTATTAAATGGTAGATTATCTTTGAGCTTTTCAGATTTCTGGTGAGACTGTTGGAGAAGTGAGAACTGTTGCAGATATGCATGAGCGTAAAGCTGCAATGGCCCGAGAATCTGATGCTTTTGTTGCTCTTCCTGGTAAATACCTGAACACTGTCATCAATAAAGAAGAAAGTTGGCTTGAGATCTTGTTCCTTAATATAACTCAAGCGGTTCATCTTTATTTATGTGCTTATAAAACTAGTTTTAGTATTCTATAATATATTCACTTGTGAATGGTAATGTAAGAATGTTGTTTTAGGTGGATATGGAACCATGGAAGAGCTTTTGGAAATGATAACTTGGTCCCAACTTGGAATCCATAAGAAAACGGTAACTCTTCTTTGTTCAAGATTGAGAATAAAACAAGATTAGAGAAGTAAAACTATGTGAATTATATAATTGATATTTACAGCAGTGCTGTACTTGATACAGGTTGGTTTGCTTAATGTTGATGGTTACTACAATAATCTGCTTGCACTATTTGACACTGGTGTTCAAGAGGGTTTCATCAAGCCTGGTGCTCGGCATATATTTGTCTCTGCTCCAACAGCAAAAGAACTACTAGAAAAAATGGAGGTATAAACATGACTTAACATTTTCTATTCATTTCTTTAATTAGTTCTCAGTAGCCTTCTTCATGGGAGGAAAATGTTCACTCAAAAAAGGGAATTCCTTTCCGGAGAGGAAAATATTTGCTGAAGAAAATAGCTAGCATGCTAACTATAGCAGTGATAAAAGATTTTCCGAAACATTTGGTTTGAGCTAAACTTTTTGAGTCATTCTATGCTTGGCACTTCCCAATTACAGTCCAGGCTCTTTTTATCATCAGAAGTCCAAACATCTTAGTCAAATTTTGCAGCAATATACTCCTTCCCATGAACAAGTTGCTCCTCATGAAAGCTGGCAGATGGAAGAACTTGGTGGCTTTACAAAGCAACAGAATGCTGAGTGACATATTGGTAACCTTGATTGAACCTGATGTGATTCATCATAATTTAGTTGTGTAGACAGTCTATTTGGATGGGGCCATATGGTGGTCATAACAATGTACTTTTTTCACCTAATGGTTTTGAATTCTGCTCTGATCATCTTAGCTGTTTTACAAACATGGTCATTCGAGCCACTTTGTCGTAGACATATTAATTTTCACATTGAAAGCAAAAGTACTTTGAAATACAAAAGGATGGTAAGTAGTCTTATTAAGTGTATCTTCCAATTAATGTGCTTTGAGATGGTCCCGCGGTGTAGTGGCTTCGGTGCTAAGTCGAATGAGCATGCCGGGGACAACTCAAATTTTTAGCCGTAAAGTAATAGAATCTTAAGAAACTAAATCTGACTCAACCACGAAATGTATCCAGGTATCTTGATGACAAAATCCTAGGCAAATTGCAGACAACCTTGCTTTTAAAAGCCTTTCTTGTAGGAGAAGGAAATTAAAGTTGAACAGTATGCAATTAGAAAAATGCTATGGAATTTAGATCATTATTAGGTTTGATGTTCAAGGCTTAGAAGCTGAATTTTTGTGCAGCTTCGGAAGCCAAATATACCACACTTTTGGGAAAAAGTTAGGAGGCATGTCATTGTCAGTCGTGGAGGTGGAAAAAGAGGGGCATTGATTCATATGACTTTTGACTGGATGGGCTAGTTGATACCAACTGGACTTGTTTAACCATCATTCTAAGTTTCACTTGAATATCTTCTACCAATAGCTGAAGAATTTTGTGCCACCTACTTCCTGTCTCTAGGATAGGTAGGAGAAGAGAGGTTAGTTATATTGGAGTTCCCTCCCAGTTTCAACTCATTTTCTTTTCTTCTCTTTAGTTTTTCAGTACTACTTTCTTTCTTTTAGAAATAGAAATACATCAGTTCTTAGAAGTGTAATCCAATGTCAACAATCTGTACTTATAAAAGCCTTTGCAAGTTGTATATGCCTGGAGTATATATATGTTCATAACTGCATGATCCTTGTGGGCCAATAGTTAAGACTTAACATATGGCACCTTTAGTAAAAATTAACCGAGTCATGTTTTCCATGAGCATCTTACCAAGGTAGCACAGTTAAATCCTTAATAAAGGTTTGGTTTTTAGAAGAAGCAACTTTGTCCAATCCTTAGGGGTGGGAGCCCAACTGATCTGTAAATGTCTGAAACACTTTGTTGGATGTTCTAACTGTTCCTCACATGGTTGTCACGAGGGAAGGAATAGCTTTTGTGTCTTGGAGTGGGGGTCCTAATTTCGTCTTAGGGTGGGGGTCCTAATTAATGCCTGTGGGAATCTTCAATGATTTGTCCAGTGATCACCAAACAGCACAACACTACAGTTTGGCGGTTTGCTGTAGCTGCAGGAAAAAGGGAGAGAACAAGGCTAGTTTAAATTTTTAGCTATCCCATGTGGGTTGTTTTGCGTTTCTTCATTGAACATTAACTGATTCAGTGGCTCATGTTCAAGGCACTAGTGGATCTTGTCCTTAGTATTGTGTATTGTTATGTCATGAAGGAAAGGGCTGGAGGTGCAGATGTTCCTAGGCATTGTGGTCCCTTGCTGAACTTAAAATTGTCTCCTGAAACTACCCAAAAGCCATGTTATTACCACACTTTTTTTATTTTTACCTTAAAAAACAATAATTTTATTTAATTTAACGAATAAGAAATAATTTATAGTTAGCATAGATATTTTATTATTTAATAAATTAAAAATATATTTATATAGTAACCTTTTCATACACCTTGATCAATAATGCAATGACCGAACCCCAAAAGTCATTTAACTGTTTAGTAGACCTACATGATTGATTGAAGAGGTATCGTACTGTTCGCCTGTCTCTAACCCTTACTGGCAATGTACCAGGCTACCAGTACTAGGACTTCTAGCCCCATAATAGGTGTTTCTTTGCCTGGAAATTGTCCTTAACGTTACTGTCTTAAATATTGTTATCATCTCAAAAATCCGACAAATTCCAAACTGAATTCAATAATAGGTTGCTTGCCGGTTTACAAATAATTAGAATCAATAACTAAGAGTGAATGTTGGTTAACAAGTGTTATATAATAGATTGCTCGAACGGTTTATAAATAATTAAAATCAATAATCAAGAGTAGACGGTAATTAACAAATATTATTTTTTTAGTTATATTTAAGAATTAAGCTTTAAGTGAATATTTAAAGTACTTAATTCTTTTATAAATACACTAAATAAGCGAACATGAGGTGTTAATTTAAGATTACTTAAAAACATAGTTTCTAAATTCTAAGTGTGTATTGAAAATAGCCCCATCATCAAAATAAAAAGGTGGAATCAGTATGAGGTAGTAGAGTTACTTAATTCCCCCCAACTAAACTGGTTTTTCAAAGGTTAAATAAAATGAGTTCCTTTCTCATACACTAAGATCCACACCTTATTAACTCGTTACACTGCTTACATGCAGACGCGGTATCAACATTACATGAAAGGCCTTGTGTCGGGCAGGCTCTCTCTCACCAAGTGACTTTATCTTAGTGGGCTGGTTTTGGCGGGCTTTCCGATTTTGTTTGTGCTGAATCTGACGGAGCACTACCCAAACCCAAACCCGTTTCAGATTTCCAGGCTGCTTTTAAAAATATCATTTCCTAACTTCCCTTTTTTTTTTTTTTTTATCAATCAAGGAAATGAAAAACTTTCATTTTCAAGGGAAGAGAGATATTCTTCTTTCATTTTGGGATTACAGTGTAGAATAATTAAGGAAAATGATTAAAAGATAAATTTTAGATAACACTTTAGAAGCTCTCTAATTACTTATTTTTGAGACTTCTTCAATATATGTTTTATGTATTTTAATTGACTTCATATTATTACTTTAATTGACTTAAAATAAATGAAGTCTCATCTATGGAGTTACGTGATTATCTTTACTTTCTTATTATATTCTTGTTAATGTCACGTGGTATAAATATAAGTCCACTTGTACTCATAAAAAAGAGAAAAATGAAAAATCCCGCCCAAAGCATATTCCATTGTCACTCAAACCTGCAAGGCCATAGGTTTGCCATCCCACCTGCCTGCTCACTCGGGCCTCTAGATTGAAGGCCTTTGCGTGGTCCTACCCTATACCCAGCAGCTTGGAAAACTAATCAACACGACAATTTCGGATTGACCAAACAGGTTGGACACTAGAGTTGACGGGATTTATTGTCTGCAAGCACAATGCACATCGATGATGCCAAATTGCCAATACGCACAGAGCAATGCACTTAAGTCTAATAATGGCAAATCTTGATGATTCATAGTCATGGGTGATATCTGCCTCCTAAGAAGACAAAATAAATGAGAGAAATGACCTGGAACACTGTACCAAAAAAACAGAGATCCGGAGCATGCAATAGAGTTCCACGCAACATGATAAGGATAAAACTATAGTGCCAATTTCTGTACACAATAATGAGAAGTTAGATATCTATACCGCATAAGCAACAACCAAGGATGCAGATGCACTAGAATATAATTGTAAAATGCAAACAACAAGAAATTTCAACTGAAACTAAAATAAAAAGGCCAACATCTCCAGCATGATCACCATGTCGGAATTGCTCAAGTAATTTGATAAGGGAATGAAACATCTCATATTGTGAAAATTGAGCATATGAGCTAAGCTTCAATACCAGGCCTGCATCGAACCTCTAAAACCAATTGATAGATAGGCAGGCAGAGTAGCCTTGTATCAACTCACATGCTTCTTTGTTGATTTTTCACTGAGATTTTTTCCACTTAACACAGATTGCTAATTAATGTTCATCTGCATGAATGCTATCCAAACACCACGATTATGAAGAAAATAACAAAATTAGGCCATAAACATGGTATCGAGCCATGGATGCATATAGGAGGAAACAATGGTGTTGGGAAACCTTCAAACGCGAAAACTCTAGGACGGATTATAAAAACAAACTCTCAGAGACTCATACTATATTAGGAGGAGATCATCAGAACTGAAAGTACCAAGATAATGAAACATATAATTCCACCTTGCAAATCAACTAATGAAGAAAGCTAGTTATTGGCAATTGCTGTATCAGATTGAGTTCTTTATTTTTGTCGGTAAAACCAAAGCCCACATCACACAGGTCACAAAGCACTTAATACAAAATAGAGATCATAAAAACCTCAGAAAATAGGGTTCATTCAAGACCATGTTCATTATAACATCATCAAGAATTTGAAAGAACTAGAGATGTAAATATAAAACCAGAAATTGCTTCCAGGTAACAGAGCATCAGTATCCAAATTTAGTAATTTACAATCAACTAGTCCACAAGTGGTGCCCTCAAGGGGTCCTAAATAGGAGGTTTCATTTGAAAACCTTGACATGAGTATGGAGGGATTGAGAAAAAGCAGGTTGTACAGTACCCAAAAAACTAGTCCACAAGTGGCCAATTCACATATCTGAATTCCATTTGTTGACACAAAAATTGAAACTTTCAAACTTGCATCAAATTAAATACAGTCATAAGACAGAAAGAAAAGGAAACAAGAAAGCAAATTCAACAAGCTAAAAATCAGGAAATCACCACCACCCATAGACGACCTGAGTGTACTTGTCTTTCAGCCACCGGAAGCTCCTCCGCAAGGACCCTTTCACCTTACCCTCGACGCTGTACATCTTGTAAGAGGCAACCCTCTTCTTCCTTTGAAACTCAGGGTCAGAGATGCTCCAAGACTTGGATGACGATGACCCAGAAGTGCTCTTCCCTTTCTTCAACTTGAAACCCCTGTTGTTGCCGGTGGGGTTATAGTTATTAGCCATCCCCATCTGGGTCTGAGCGTAGGAAGCACTATAGCACCGGAGATCATAAGACGTGGGCGGCCTGGGTGGCGCATAGTAGCTTTCCATCTGCATCATCCCATTCCCGTATGATCTCGATCTGTTGTAATCCTCCATGGCAGAGAAAGATTCCCGACGGGTTTTGAAAACGATAGTGGTGGCCTTGGGTTTGTTCCGGTTGTTTAATTAGAAGTTAGGAGAACTCCACTCGATCTTCACAGATTAGGAAAGAGCAAGAATGATAGAAACGTGGGGTCCGATGAAGAATTCAATGACAGAGTATAAAATATAGAAACAGCATCGCCAATTTTTCCATTTCTTTTCGTATTTTCTTCAAATTTTTGTCTTCGACTGACTTTGAACAGCTGCACTGCATTGATTCTACATGGCGTGTCTGACGGGGAATCATGTTGTCTCCCACAATAATTTATGTTTGAGTCTTCCTTGGGACAAAAAAAAGTTTGTATTGACCAAGTCATATAAATCAAAATATTCAATCTAAAATCTAATTTTTTTTTTTTGCGGTCAAGATGTGCCTTTTTTTTTTTCTTCATTTTAGAACACTAAATAAATTAGTACCGTAGCTAAGGGAGTTAATACCATATCAGCATATGTAGTAATTTTGTTATTAAAATAATATGGGTTGAATATTAAAATTTTTTAAGTATTATTTTAAATTTATCGTTATAAATATATATTTTTATAAATTAAATATTAAAATAAAATAAAAAATACTAATATTTAAAACTATCATATTTTTATAAATTAAA